TCCCCCTCAGAGTCCTCCAAGTCCTCCACCTGGCTGTCCCTGACAACTTTCTCTGTAAAGTAGTGAAAAGATCCTTAATATCCCAGTGTTTTTCTATTGTGTGTGTGTACGTATGTGCACGCATATAAATAGAAAGATAAAGTTTTACTGTATCCCCCTATCCTGCAGTATAGTTATGCCATTCGAAATGTAAACAGTGTTCACTGGTGGCAGATGTTCAGGTTATTTTTACTTAATGAAAGGAGCAACAGAAATTGAAGCATTCTGATGTATTCAAACAGGCACTTTTTCTAATAAGTTTGTATCTCTGTGGTTTTCAACAGTATCATTTCTTCCTTAATAAGTGTCATTGTTGCTTAATTGGAAGTTCAGCAAGTTTGTTACATACCATTGACTTATGATGCCTGGAGAGAACATAATAAATCCTTTTTCCATACACAAGACACAAACATCTCTTTTCTTGGCAGAATTTTAAATTTTATTTTAGGAAAAGGAGAAAGCAAAATATGTAAATAGCAATATGTTAATGTTCTAAAGTAAATATGTGGAAGCTTTTTCTCACAGTCATCTCCTAGAAAAACTGCCCTGTTTTCATCAAGAAAGGGTCAGAAATTCTAAGTTCCCAGAGAGTAAAAAATGGCTTTATGTTTCATACTAGACACCCCTCACACTTCCCCCAAAAGGGTAAATGATAGATGGGTCTGAGCTGTGGATGCTAAAGTCTTGTCTACTGTGGCAACTGTAGGATGAGACACATGGGGATCTGAAGGGATGTTTAGACTGCTGAGAGAAAGAGATTTCTGGAGTTTTTGTGTTCGTGTTTTGAGCCTGGTTCGTTTTCATTTGTTGTACTGTGGGAGTGTTATACCTCCTGCCCAAGTGATACAAAGGCGCAGTGTATCTGGGGAAACTTCATGAACTCATCTTGCCCTGGACTGAAGTTGTGGTGAGGCAATGTCAGTCAAATTTGAACAGACTTGTGGAGACAGCTTGGTTTTTCCAGACAAGTATTTTTATTCTTTGAATCAGATGTGGAGACAAGAAGCATCTGCAGGAAAACATGTTGGGATAAATTCGTCAGTTTATAAACAAACAAACAAACAGCCTACCAACCAAACCTACTTCTGACCAAGGAACCAAGCACTGACTATCTGAAAATACTGTTTTAGATAGGGACAAAAATGTTCCATAGAACCCCAGCTTGTAAGTATTGGACTGCAATTCCCAGAATACCACAGCCAGTACAAACAGTTGAAAAATAACAAATTTTGGCAGTTACTACTCTACCCAGAACCCCTTGCAAGCATAGACAGTGGCCACACAGGCTTGGGGATTTGCGGAGTGGTTGACCAACAAAATTAATGATTCCACACTCTGCATAGAGCATTGGGTGGGGTGAACCCTAGAGCTGCATAAACACCCAATGGATTCACTCACATAACTCATACCACAATGCAGAGAGTACCGTATTTTCTGGAATATAAGATGACTTTTTAACCCTGGAAAATGGTCTCAAAAGTTGGGGGTTGTCTTATATGCCGGGTAGAGGAGGAGGAGGATGAGGGGAGAAGGAGAAGGAGAAGGAAGCCAGGCGGTGGAGGAGGAGGACGAGGGGTCAAAGAGAAGCAGAAGGAAGCCTGGCGAAGGAAGAGGAGGAGGAGGACGAGGGGAGAAGAAGAAGGAAGCCAGGGAGAGGATGAGGATGATGAGAATGAGGGGAGAAGGAGAAGGAAGCCAGTTCGACAGTATGGATGCAGCCTGAATCTGCACTGCAGAAAACTATATTTTAACTGGAAAAGTTGGGGGTTGTCTTAAATGCCCAGTCATCTTATATACTGGAAAATACGGTAGATAAATCTGGGAAGGTCAGCTAAATAAAGTCAAACACTTGCTATGAAGAATGACAGTATCCCATCATACTCCATTCCAAGTATAATTCCAACTGTAACAGCTCTTTTTATCTTCATTATGAAGCTATGTTTCTTTTAATTTGTGTAAGCTGCCTTGAGTCCCAGATTAGGAAAAAAACTATATTTATAAATAAATATAATAATGATAACAATAATAAAGCAAAAGTCCTTTGCTAGTATTTAATTTTCTTCCTCTAGTAGTCATGCAAGAAGAAAACAAATGACACCTGAGGCCATCTTGATATGTGATACTATACCTTTTCATAGAATCATAGAGTTGGGAGAGACCACAAGGACTATCCACTCCAACTCCCTGCCATGC